CCTTGGAGTTTTGCTTCCTCGGACTTTTTTCAGGCTTTTATTTCTAAGCGCAGGCAATTCGACGAAGTGCCAGAGGCGGTTTGCTTGGACGGAAAAACGGATCACAAAGGGAGTACATTAACGTTCTTCGTTCCTGTTCTCTTGTTTTGGTGGAGCAGGCCGCTTTCGATGTTCGAGCGCTGTCTCGGCATGTCCTTGCGTGCTGTCGGGGCACTTTTTGCGACGCAGCTGCTGATTTAAAGTCAGCGACATACGATCGGAAGTTCAGGGTTGATGAGATGCTCTCTTCGCTACTCAACTCCTCTGACCCGGTTCATTAGCGGGTACGAAGTACACGTGAAAAGGGAATTAAAACCGGGCTCTTTACGCGGCAGGTTTTGCCCAGTGATATATATTCCAGTAGACTGGATCGCGGATCGGGAGCCCGACGGTGGTAGCACCGGCGGCCACTCCTTGACACCAGGCAATACACATAAATCTATGCGAAGAATATTTTAGGGCGAAAAGCATACTTGGTTCTGTGTCTTCACTTGCTCGTTTAAATTCGCCCCACAGTCAATTTTATTTAGTAAAATTGAAACACTTTCGAAGCCTCTGAGAGTATGTTTCCCTGTGGTGAACGAGAAACACCTTTCATTGGTCTTCCTTTTTTCAGGTCGACCAATGCTTAAAAGGGATGGGCGGCTTTTTTCACTGAGAAGCATGATTATTGGAGCAGGATACGAATTACCCACCTCGTTTACTCAGATGGTTAGAGAAAGACACGAGTGTGTTGCGAGACACCAATACAAAGAATCATCTTCAAGCAACCCCGCGGAAAGGAAGGAAACCGAAATGCCACTCCATGAAGGTTTAACATTCGATGCGTGAAAGAGAAAGAAAAACAAAAACAAAGCAAACAATGAAAACAAAGGGAATGAGCTTAATTAATAAAACACGGGAAACGGTTTCGCGAACCGCTGTTCCACCAATCCACTCCGTGAGATTGCTGAATAATCAACATAAAAAACAGCTTGAGGGTGTTTGTGAACTAGCTTAAAGCTTGCACAAGAGTAGACAACCAAGCGCTTTGTCTATTATCTTGTGCAGCTCCCAACGGCGGCAGACCTAACAACCTGGAAAATCAACCCCTCGGGCAGGGAGGAAAAATATTGACCGGTTGAACACTCCCTCTATATCTTGTGGGCAAACATCGGCTAGTAGAACAGCCGCAGGCGCTATACGCCTATTTATTTCTCCGCTCGTGCACACTTGCCGCGAGCCAAAACGCAGACCTGAGTGACATTTCTCCAATTCTGGAGATTGGGGAAACAGAAGAACAGGACAACACGAAGGAAAGGGCAACTCAGCCACAGGAAATCCCGGACAGGACAACACGAAGCGGAGATTCGTATTGCCCTGTCCTGTTTCCCCAGGGTAAAAAAAACTGAGTCCTTAACCAGCTCGCCTGCATCCTTGTATTAACAGCTGAGCGGGAGTACCGCTCGACTGGCCGCTTTGCTTTCGCACTTTTCAGCTACCATAAAGGTGCTGGCATTCAGCCAAAGCATCCCTTTTTTTTTACATCTCGCAAAGGCAAAAAATTATTCCAATAGACTACTTCAATATCCGTCACCGTCTACCGTGCTCGCTGCATTCTGGCAATGTGTAGGCCAGGAGCAGGGCGCGTATGGATTTTGCTAGAGTGCCTCAGTGTCCTTCCGTTTAGGGTGATGCCATCGTTTGTAGTACCCGATGCCAACAGAAATCGCAGGAAACAAAATGTCGCCGTAGCACAGTCAGCGCCACGAGCGCGTGCATGGATACGCTCTTTCACGCGCTTCAGTATAAAAAATAAAAATACGCGTTCGAAACAAAATGGACAGATGTCATCACCCCTAGCAAAGCGCACATGAAGGTACCCTAGATTTTTCTGCCCACTGATTCTCACAATGCATAACGTGGCATTACGCCGTGATGGGGCGCGTCGAGTTTTGGAATAAGTCTATTTGCAACTGCTCGGACCCCTCTGGTATAAAGGGTAATCACTGGACGCTATATAGACACTGTTGACTGTTCATAAGTGAGTGAGAAAACGTATTGATTAAAGGAATGGGATACATCGCCATTTCTTGATAAAGTCACCCAATCGTGATGGGGGAAGGGGATTATGGGAAGGGTAGGCGGAGGAGGCTAAATGTAGCAGGTGATCTCCGATGATGGACTAAACTAATCAGGGAATCGAGAATGCCGAAAAAAGAGCGCACACTTGTAGCTTTCCAAGACGCGCAATCTTGATGGTGTGGAATGAATTTTGCAAACGCACTATAAAAGCTCGCGATCGGCATTCGCTGAGGAGTTCTGCACTCAGGCATGGCCGCCGGCGAATACGTCCTACCCCTTTTTATGGCAAACGCCACCAGGCGGTGCTCCCAGTCATTGACGTTTCAGGAAACTCCCGGTTCATAAAAAGCATGAACAAAACCCACCTTAAGATTGCTGCTTTAAATGTCGATGAAACGTTTGACCACCAATTATTCAGGTGAACGCCAGAAGGACAAAGAAGTGCGAGATCTCTTAATATGTTTCGAATATTTTTTGTAATCCAACTTTCCTCTTCCAAGACGTTAAATTGTACACGCGAAGGCCTTCGTTAAATCTCCAACTTTTGTATTCGTGTAGCATTTATGCTTTCTACAGCACTGATGACATAAGCAAGCTCAAAAGGTTTGCAAAGACAGAGCGACAGGAAATCGCTTGGGACGCAAGTGGCAGTTCATGCTTGTAAACAGGAAAACGGTCTATAGACACTTTAAGGAGAATTCACGCGGGATTTATTTTCACCCTTTTTCTTATAGACGGTGCAGAGATTTTCCGCAACAAACGAGTTGCATGCTCGCAGTTCCGCATGTAAATGGGGTGCTCGGAGTGAGCTCGGGCCACGGCTATTCGCCCGGCATCTGGCTCCGAAGTTGGCACCGTGTTCGTACCATTCGAACGTATTTTGTAAACAACCTATTTGCTGATCTTGCTGTACGTTGGTAGTCCATTCGTGTCTTCAGCGTTTGCAAGTGTGCCATGTGTGTACAAATAAAGTCGCTACGTCGACTGACGCCTTGACATCATGTATTCGCTTTAGCGGCGTTCATCGCTTGTTTCGCATGGTATTTGGATTCCGAAGAATACTCGGCGGCGTGTTGTAATATTTATGAAGGCCGAATATTTATGTTAATCTTCGCTTCACTGAGTTCAGCCTTTAGACGCGAGCCTGTAATTTAGGTTATGCACGGGTTACGGTTGTAGGTGGAAAACAAGATCATATGATCAGTGAAAGTAGCGCCATGGCCTACCCTGCCTGCTAGCCAAACACAGATAAATACAAACATACAGATAACCGAAACCTCGCAAGGCAATTGGTTAATCTGTCTCTGTTGCTATGGCGATCTCCATTTCGCCCCCTTCAGATTATCGAAGCTTCGAGAGGGTTGTTCTAATCCAGTCGCACTAGCTAATTTAGATCGGCTCTTCGGGAACAAAGACGTCAAGAAGAATTTGTTCATTTTATGAGCCAAAATGGCGTCCATGCGAGGATCTTGCCGCTAGCTTCCCACGATCCAGTTACTTTAGTAGAACAGAGCTTCTGAACATGGGGCCATCAGTGCAATTTTCAGCACCTGTTGTTGGGTTGGGTTGAGCTGGGTGATTACATTCACGGTTATCAAGAGATTATCAACGCCCGCCTTCGTTTACGCACGTGCCGAATGTGAAAACGATGGCATTTCTACAAAATTAAATATTGGAGTGTAATATGATCTGAGCTCTCGCGTTATGATGAAGCAACAACACATGTTTTTTTTTTTTTTTTTAAGTTAGGATGAGCTAGAAATTTACCGAGATGTGAAGTGGCCGATAGAAGTCAGGGAAGCCAAATCAGCGCTGTACTCTTGAGTCCCTGCATGAAATGAACGCTTGGCGTTTCTTAGAAGTACAGACAACCACTGTTGGCTAACGCGAGAGAAAGGCACCACGAGACCCCGAGCAAGGGGCGCGCCCCAGTTTCCCTTCAGGGGCCGCTCCATAGCCGCTAATATTAGCGCTGCGCCGAAATTTGCTTCTATGTGTCGCACGAGGCACGGGCTCGTGAATTGGCGCATTTGATGATTTGATGCCGCTTGCAAGACAAACTAATGCATCAAGGGGCTTAACTGACGGTATGTGACTCTTCGGAGTGACATAGGGACTCTCGGAGCGCGAGGTTCCGTAGCACGTTCTTTCAGCTAGATTAGTTCGTAGGTCGTGACACCAACTGCGGTCAGTCTAAAATTGAAAGCTCGTCGCGCGGTGGTGAGAAGCAGCACGTCGACATTGCACCACTCCGTCATACATGAGTCGCCTCTCATTGCTCCTATTTTTTTGTGTCGTGCAGCAGAGAGGTCTCACACAGACCATACTCCGTCCAGACGGCGAAGCAGATATCGGCGGTGTGAAGCAAATAACTCGTGCCGTGGGTCACCGTCCGTTCAAGCTCGTGAAAACAGAAACAAGAGTCAATGCTCTGGCTTAGTCAGTCGATCAATAAAACGTTTATTAATTTGCCGAAAAGGGGGGGGGGGGATCCATGGGCACGCTTCAAGATCATAACCTTGTTGATGTAGCTGATGCGGTGAATCGATACGCTACACCCATTTCCAAGGAACGACTCACGCACGATTAGACAATATATGTCTGAGGTGATATAATAGACTCAACGAGTAATTATCAAGTCAAACCAGTTTCCTTTTCTGATCATTCCATGGTATCAGTCTGCTTTGGGCTGCGCAGACTCCGAAGTGTTCATCAGCAGTGGGAACACTGGAAACTCAACCTGTGGCTTCTAAGTGATGAGCAGTTTTCAACTAACGTCGCCTTATTTTTGTCAAATACATTCCAAAACATTGATATGCACATCTTTGCAAAGCGGGATAGTTTCCAGCAAGAAGTAAAAAAGCATCGCAATCGAGCGCGCTTCCATTGCATCAGATATGAGCAAACAACAGCAGTGTGACCTTTTAGTAACCCTGCACGAGCTTGAATGCTTGAACCAAGGTGCGTACAGCGACGATGTTAACACAGTACGAGCCCAGCTTCAAAAGTATGAAACCAAAAGGTACAGCGGAACATTAATTTGCTCAAGGAAGAAACGCTTTCTCCTCCGTGAACAAACCTGCGTAAAGACCTTTAGATGACGAAAGGCGTAACGCACTGTCAAAGGAAATAGTAGAAATCAAGAAAGATGGATCGATATTCACCAATGCCACTGAGATAGTTAATTTTTTTACCGCTTCTAGACAGATATTTTAGGAACAGTAATACCCACGAACGAGAAGACTGAGATGGAACAGGTTACTAACAGGGATGCCAACACTTGACGAGGAAGATCGCGATTTAATTGAAGGTCCCATAACATTAAACGAAACTAAGGCTGCCAATAAATTTCTCCCGAATGGGAAAATACCAGGACCAGAAGGAATAAGCGGAGAATTTTACAAAAAGGTTCCAAGACATTGTATTTTTCTGTTTTACTGGCTGTATTTGAAGAATACTACACACAAAAATTTCTTCCCCCTTCATTTTACCGTGGAGGCACGGCATTGTTGCCAAAAACAAAAGATACAGAAATGCTTAAAAAGATGGAAAACTACAGATCAATATCCCTTTTCAACGTAGATTATAAAATTCACGCCAAAGTGCTCAATGAAATACTTCAGTGCGTAATAGAGAAGCTGCTAAGTGAGCACCAAAAATGTGGGATGCACGGCAGATCTATTCAAAACAAACTACATGTTGCCCGTTCCGTCCTAGAGTCTGTGTCAGACAGTAATGACCATCTATCACTTGTACGAATAGACCTTACAAAAGCCTTTGGACGCCTGAGTCATTCATTTTCATTTGCTCTTCTTGGACACGTAAACGTAGGAGAGACACTTCTGGAAGGAATCCGACTTTGCTACAATCATTGTACGACACGACTGAAAATCAATAACACACTTTCTGATGAAATTAAGATCAAAACTTCGTAAGGCAGGGCTGCCCGCTATCCACCCTCCTTTTTCCAATGTATTTAGAGCCCTTGTGCCTTCGCATCGTGAAAACAAAATGTATTCGTGGATACTCCGTGGCAAATCTTGAGGTAAACGTCCTGGCATACGCAGACGATGTTAGATTTTGTACGTTTACAAGAGGAGTGTCGAGTGTCCTCCTTCGACTACACCGAAAAGGAAGGCTTATGCGTGGAAAGATAGTGCCATTTCCAGTTTTACTAGAGCCACTGTTTGTAATATATTCCTCGCTTCGAAGCTTGTGTACGTTCTTCAAGTGCTTCATTGCGTTCGAGCAGACATCCGAAAATTCAATAGAATATTTGCCACTTTGATATGGTGCGCAACGTCGGAACCTGTAAAAAGTGACAACCTATTCTTCCCTCTCGAATTTGGTGGTTTAGGACTCTCTCACATTTCTGTTCGCCAGTTATTGTCAAGATTCCTTATTTTAAAAATGCCAATCACAAGTTCCTTAGAGTCATACTCCAATCACGCCTTGCTGAGAGTTTAAGTTGTCTTGTTGCTTCAACGGGCGAAACGTCGAAACATTTGGAGCGGGTCTCACGGAGCGGCTCTTGGCCTCCCTCGCGGAGTTTGGAAAGCGCTCCGGATGTACCAGCTGAATTGTCCATAAGCTTATTTCGGAATCATAAATTACGAGATTGCGTACTGAAAAGGTACGCTTTGATTACTTGGCTATTGTTATATTTCGAAGGCGGGGAACAGCGAAATGCCGAGCGCAGTGGAAGGTGGATCAGGCTTGTGCTTACACGAACCGGAAGTGTGAGCGTTGCACGAGCGAATATCTTTCCTTGCGTGGATCGCAGACTGAGCAGAAAGAAAATAAGAACATGAAAGAAGAAGCAACTTGGGACTTAGGTGTGGGTCGAGTAAACAAGCCGTCCGTGCGGTCCCCAGGGCGTCGTTTGGGGCCCCGGTGGACCTGAAGTAGGGAGAGGGAGAGCGGCAGCTTCCAATATTCCCGGCTTATATTGACCGTTCTCACGCGACACCAACCTTCCCCCCTCCACACACACACACACTTTTTTTTTTCGATGCAACTACGTGTAATCGTTATATGAGAAAAAGATACGTTAATAATACGTCATCAAATCACAGGTATCACAATCTTTTGGGCGGTTATTTCTGTTTTTTGGTTTGTGAGTGTAGGGCCTTATAATCTAGCAAAGGTAGAGGCAAAATTGTCCTTTTTTGAAAAGAGTCTGGGTATCTTTGCCCTAATTCACCAAACAAGCGCCAAAGTTAGCCCTTACTACAACTAGTTTTGTTGTCATCTGGAATCTTGGGGTCTAAAGCGCCAAACGAGAGCCAGAGTGAGCACCTTCACTGCTGGTTCTTTGCTTCATCTTTCTTGACATGTTTCGTTCGACTCTGGCAGTTTGGCAATTACGTAGCGAGCCAGAGTAAAGTCGTAGCCAAGGAAGAGTAGTTTAGCACTTGGAGCAAAAGCGTATTAGGGCAAACCTCGAAGGAGAACTGTGGCCCAATTTCGGCCCCGCCAAACTTCTGCCAAGTTGGGCGTTTCTCACGCGTGCTACCTGAGGAGGGTCAGTGACAGCTTAAAAAACGGAAGACATGACTTATTGGGATTTTAGCTTCTTGATTCGCTCTTCACTGCAGCAACGTAGCGATGATAAGATTCTCGGCACTCGCCTCGCCCTGCGTTTCTTAAAGTGCCAGTTCAGAGATTAAACACGACTACGGCGTCGGCGTTGGGCTGGGACTCGTGTGCTCACTGATTGGACAAGAGTCACAGCCGAACGCTCACGCCGTAGTCGTGTCCAGTCTCTGGCGAAAGAAAGCCTTCTTTGCTGGCGCAGGAAAACTCAACCCTTAGGCTTTCTTATCTAGGAGGAGTTGGTCAGTCACAGTATAGTTTGGAGAGCCCAGGAAAAGTCGCAAGTGTTGAGCTCCGAGCATCTTATGAGTGCATCCCACGAGATAGTGGCTCTAGCCGATAAGAACTCAGTCTTGGGTAAGTTACTTTTGAGAAGTAATTCGTTACAGTTACAGTTACTTTCCGAAAAACAGTAGCGAAGTTACCGTTACAGTTACCACAACAAAAGAGTAACTCGTTACAGTTACAGTTACTTTTAAGAAGCAACGAAGTTACTTTTAATTTACTTTTCTATAACAAAAAGATTAAGAAGAAACTAAAAAACGCACCTCCCCAAACTTTATTGCATAAAATTTTAAAAAGTGCGGTTTTTAGTTTATATTGTAACCTAGCAGCAGTTGCTTCTCGAATGTATTGTCTGAAAGTTTCCCTCCTTTGATGGCGAACACCTCCCTGCCCTTGCTGAACAGGCACCCAATTGGAGCGCTGGAAGGATTTGCACGGAACAAACACGGACCCAATGCAAATGCCCAATCCTTGGTATCACCAGCACATTGCTGGCTCGTTGACGGTTGCTCTGGGTTCATAGAGTCCCTGGACATATTCCAGTTCGTCCCCGGCAAGCCAGAAACAAACCTTGCGCAAACAGCAGTAAATTTTGAATCAACTGTTGACACCACGCCGGAGTAGTGGTGCAAAACAAAATACGAAACATGAGCAGTGCCCTCCACGTGTATTGTTGATTCACGGTTGATTCACTCGATTAAAAAGCGTTTGCTCAGAAAAAAGAAAAACCGCTGCATAGATAGTGCTTCAAGATACTAAGAAGTAATTGTTCAGTCACGAAGGACAAGCGCGTGCGTAAAGATAATTTGATTTTTTTTTCATCAAATCTACACGTGGCTATATTCGGGTCGTGACTCGCGAGAAAGAACGTATTTACAAGTTTGTGCAAGGCCAACTTGACACTCGAAATGTCGGAAAAGACAATTTGGGAAGTGCAAGAAATAGCTAGATTGGGTACTCGTTCAATGATATATTATTCATAAAAAACTGGAAAGTTACGACAAAAGTAACGTCGTTACTTTCATCGCTACCTCAGACAAATTAATAGAACTACAGTTACAAGTTACATTTTTAAAAAGTAACTCATTACAGTTACAAGTTACCAAAAAAGTAACGAAGTTACAGTAACGCGTTTCTATTTGAGACTGTAAGAACTGCGGATAACGAAGCAACGATCGAGCGTGAACATAATAGTCTATGGCCTGCGATTCTTAAGATGGCAGGAGGGCGACAAACTCAACCTTTTCTCTGTTTATTTATATGTAATTGGCTTTAACTTTTGAGTTAGATGCGCTTCCAGGCGGTGCCGAGAGAAGGCGATCATTTTCTAGTCTTTTTTTTTCCCTATTATTGCCCCGAAATAATCTGTCACACATCGGAACAGCGCTGGCGCGAAATGGAGGCGACTTGGGCGCTTGCTCAGTCAGCTAGTTCGGTCTCGTAAATCTCTGAATCCTGAGACAGCGGGTGTGCGACACGACTCGCACTCGGCGCTCCGGAGGTTCGGCGAGATGCAATTTTGATCCGGCCGAAGAAGAAGCAGGCCCTCCCGGTGCAGGGATCCGAGAGACCCGGCGGGGCGAATACACAGCAATAATTTGGCGGGCGCCGTTATTCACGCCCGACACCCCATTGTCAGGCGCGAAGCATCCTTCTGGCTCAGCCGAGAATTCGGCCGGAAGTACAAAAGGAAATGTATTCCAATCGATGCAGGCGGGCACAAGGACTCCTCGCAAGCCGCAGGAAACTGGGTGGCAGACTTCCTTAGGGGCGAACCCCGGACCACAACCCGCACAGGAGCAGGTCCCGGTCCTGCGGGCGCATTTTGTACATACATACGCTTTCTCGGAAACTCCGGAAGCGCGCCGGGATACGCTCGGATTCACAAACCACCGGTTGCATTTTAATCAGTTCACGTGATCAGCCAACTAGAAGGGCCAACCGTATTCCGCTATAGCCGTTCTTCAGACGCACTGCGAAACGAAATGCGCCAGCCTCATTTTTTCGCTGAAACCGCACAATCACCTACCGCCCTGCTGTTTAGTTAAACTAATAAAAAAAACTCATCTTATTTTATTTTTCCGACTTCTTTTTTCGTGCGTCTGTGCGTGTGTGTATTTGTGTGTGCGTGCGTGTATATGC